CAGAGGCCATACTGCACCTCCACTCTTATTACTTCTGTGGCATAAATAGGGCATCCGATTGGCCTGTTACACAATCACAACAACGAATCAGTCGTGACACGTTCACTATAGTGAACTGGCTCTTGTATTGTCGGCATCAATTAAGACTTACAATTGCGCTGTGACATTCCACAGACCTGCTACGCATTCATGTTAACAAATGAGTCGCGACACATTCCTTATGGGGAACTGGCTTTTCCAAAGGGGGGGACGTAAGTTGGAACAGACAGCAACAACAGTTTCTTAGTTCTAATTCCAGAAATTAACTGAGAACTCCTACACAAAATATCTTCCTATCTGTCTTGGGCACAAATATTTGCGGGCGGAACTGGGTTCCTCTAACGCTTGAACAGAAATACAAGCAGAACGACACTTAACGCTAGCATGCCTACTCTATGGTCTAGTGGTCAGAGATCCTGGCTACAGATTCAAAGGTCCAGGGTTCGAATACCGGCGCTACAAATTTTTTCTGAGAAGTAGTCGGTCTGCAACGGGGTCCACTCAGCCTCGTGAGGAGAAATGAACATCTATTTCAAGGACATAGCGGCTCCGGTCTAGAAAACCGAGATTAACGGCCGTTCCCAGACGCAATGCACAAAATACTGAGATGTACAATCACCCTGTCCTACCTCTGGCCGACAACTGTAATTAACGTGCACCGTCAATAATTATGCAAAAATTTCGTAACAAAATGTGATTTGCTGCAATTGACATGTTAATCGTGGTACAGAAAACAACGCTACAATACACTCTTCTTAATTTAACATTATCTTACCGTATACTGGCGCAATTGCTGTGCTTATACAGGGTGTCCCAGGAGGAATGTGCCAAACTTCGGGAGGGTGTTCCTTATGTTAAAGTATGCCGATATAACCCAAAACACCTATGTCCAAAGTTGAACGGTTACGGAGATAATGGCCAGAGAAGTGTCAAACTTTGACCGGGGTTACACACTTGTTGATTACAAAATACATATTAAAACTGGCAGGAATATGTGGATTCTGTAATGTTAATAATGTACGTAACATCAAACTAACTTGTGAGTGACGGAAAGCCATAAAAGTGAAGTACAAAATACTCGCTCGCCATGTCATAATTGTCCTTAGGTTTCCAAGCAGTATACATAACACATGACTGGCAAGCGATGACGTAACGTGCTGACTGCGCGTTCTGGTATGAGCCAACTACATAAGCACGGCTAGGGAGTATCATCGCACTCAAGGACAAACATAGATAAGGGCTCTCAGCTGAGAGGTACAGCGAGGTACAGTGCTTGGACCTGCCAGAAGACCACACTTTTCTTGGGCCATTATCTCCGTAACCGTTCAACTTTGGACATAGGTGTTTTGGGTTATATCGGCATACTTTAACATAAGGAACACCCTCCCGAAGTTTGGCACATTCCTCCTGGGACACCCTGTATATTTTTTTCCCCTTGGCACTACAGCCCCAGTGGTCCTAGGCCTACCTCCACAAACTTCTCCGTTCACTTCGATTTTTCTAGATCTTACACATTCGGTAGGACCCATTGGGCGGGTGATCAGCTCGTCGCAAGGCCTCTACCTGTACACAAACACAGAAAAACACGCACACACACAAACTAATCATCCATACCCTGAGTGGGTTTCGAAACCACGATCCCGGTTTCCAAGCGAGCGAAGACAGTACATGCCTTAGACCGCTCGGCTACCGTGACCGACGCTGTGCTTAACACTGTCGTAAATTGTGTCGAAAGTTGATTTTATGATTTAAATTTAAAGTTATATCCTCCAGCTTTCCAAAATGCAATACAGACAATTTTCGGAATACACTCAAAAATCGGCTAGGCGGGTTTTTATTGCATGCGTTATATTGTTTAAGAGACCTCGGGTTATTGGCATAAAACTAAAACCTGAACTCTGTGGATTGTAGTCCGCAAGAGAACTATACCGACCGAGGGACCGCTGCTTGCCGGGGAAGTTAGTGGTCCGGGAAACGGACTCCTACGGCCGTTAATCTCGGTTTTCTAGACCGGAGCCGCTATTTCAAGGAAATAGCTTCTCAATTATCCTCACGGGGCTGAGTGGACCCCGTTCCAGACCCACTGCTTCTCAGAAAATCAGGTAGCGCCGGGAATCGAACCCGGGACCTCTGGCCACTAGACCACAGAGGCGGTCACAACACTGCTTTCATTAAAAATATTATAAACATGAAAACACGGATCGCAGTAGGGCGGAAGACACAGAAGTTCCCCCAAATTTCAACGCACCTGATGATGACCCTGTAGGCCGAAACATGTAGTGCATTGACGAATTTTAAAAATGGTTTGATTTTAAATCTTGATGTTGTTGCATGGTGGACAGTAAACAGAATTGAAAATAAATTTCATTTTTGTAGATGTTTTATGTAACCGTCCTCCGCCTTGGTCTATACTTTAATATCTGCTTTACATATCTTTCGTCTTTTGAATGTGATCAGTTCAGTTGTGTTATATCTTCCACCCTCGTATACAATTCTGTCTCTTACGCGTCGCTTTCGTCGTAACCTAACCCCATTAATATATCTCACGGACACCAGTTCACATACGCACATCCATCAACGTAAACAAACAGTGCCTTTCAATTCACATTGTGGCGTACAGACCAGTTGCAACGCAAAGAACTTAAAAAAAAAAACGATTACAGCCGTTGCTATGCAATAGACGAATATACAAACGGCCGTTTCTGAGCAACAGCTAGGTAAACACGTTCCCGTGGAAATGAGACGCACACAATAGTTACAATGCAAATTACGTTTTTTTCTATGAGGTCCGTGCAGAGTTGTTAGAAAGAAGACAATTGGGGCAATCAATTTCAGTTCTCAGTTGAAAGTCAGTCTGTGAAATGGCCCCCAGCCAGGAATCCAGTCAGTTTAGGTTGGCAGTGGAGTCGAGCTCCGCAAGGGAGGCTGAGAAGAGATGGCGCTATAGTCGAACTGATAGTTGATAAGAGTTCAGTTGCGGGATATTCGCCGGACAGTAACGACGTGAGCGCGGGAAGCTGAAGAATCTCCACTGTTAAAGGCCGTTGCTAGGGAGCGGCTGTTGAAGACACAGCAGGCTGGAAAAATGTTTAGTTGGTGCTGTGGTGATCTATGAATTTTGGAGATTAGCAATGGCGCTGTAATTACTTGCAGTTTCGAGTGGTGTATACAAGCGGTCAACAAGTCCAATATCCAATCCATACCCCGTCTACAGTTACAACCTTAAATACGTGACAATATATATTAGTTTCTTTGGGTGGGGTGAGACTGAGTCAACTTGCTACTTCGGCCACTAACTGGCATATTGTGTCAGTACCGGATGATAGAAAAGTATGGAGGACTTGCTGGAATGAGAATTAACAGGGGAAACCGACGTCCTCGGAGGAAACCTTCCCCAGTGCCATTCTGTCCACCGTAAATCCCACATGGTTTGGTCTGTGATCGAAGCCAGGACGCAACGGTGGGAATTCGGCGACTAAACGCCTAAGCCATGACATGGTCAGTGACATTTCTTGTCCAAATGCAGGTTGGTATTATGCATAACCTAAATAGGATCCAAGTGCGGGAATACTGCTGCCAAGTTATAAAAAAATGCTATTCAAACTGGAACAAAGTTTATCATATCACAACGAAAAAAGAAACCTGTTACTTCCGCTGAGCTATCAGAAACATTCCTATCAGGAAGTCACGCTATTTGTTAAAAAAATGGAAATTATTTTATTCATATCATTTTTCTGTACTGAAATGTACGACTAAAAAAATATATAGCAACATTTCATGCACTAAAATAATTTATCTACGAAAACATTTTCCAAAGACAACCGCACACAATTGCTTTCAACGATTTTCAATACGCTACGATGTATTCTGAGCGATCGAAACTAAATCGAAAGAAAACTCCATGTTTTAAACATGTCCTCTGCCATGATACAAGGACCACTTAGAGTTTGCAATTTGGTGCACTTCTAGGGTTCTTATGTTTGTGTACAGGTAGAGGCCTTGCGACGAGCTGATCACCCGCCCAAGGAGTCCTACCGAATGTGTAAGATCTAGAAAAACCGAAGTGAACGGAGAAGTTCATGGAGGTAGGCCTAGGCACACTGGGGCTGTAGTGCCAAGGGGGAAAAAAAACATTTAAAGGATAAAAAACTGTAATTGCTCGTGTTATGAGCTCTGTAATCCTCTATCAGGGAGATTGGTCTGGAAGTAAACACAGACAGAAGTAAGTATATGCAGTAAACATCTGTTATGATGGACTAATAGGGTTCACAGGGTGCTCATTATTGCCAGAGTCCCCTATAACCGAGTGAAGGTGTATTCACGCAAGTACCAAACTACGTGGGCTGTAGTCCGCAAGCGAATTATACCGACCGAGTGACCTCCGCTTGTCAGCGAAGTTACTGCCAACTTTTGCGGATAGAGGATAGATACTTTTCCATTCAACTAGCTCCTCAGTTATCCTCACGATGCTGAGTGGGCCCCGTTCTAGACCCACTAATTCTCAAAAAATCTGGTAGCGCCGGGAACCGCACCCGGGACCTCTGGATCTGTATTCTGGAACTCTGACCACTAGATCATAGGAGCGGTTTCTCAGTGCCTCAACGTCTCTGAAATTTCACAATTATCATAGTCTTTGCCAGTCGTCTGAAATATGACGAAAAATATAGTTACGAGTGTCCTCATTATTCAATTATCTCGTACGTCCAAAGACAAATGCCTAAAAAAAAAGGGAAGCATACACAGAAGTTGATACGACCACACAGTTAAACATAAAAGTGGAAGATGAGAGGAAAGATAAGGAATGTTTGGAGCAAAACAGAGGAAGAGGATGCTGTGGGAGGGAAATATGAAACCATGACGCAAACTGGCATTATTATATCGAAATGACAGTGAACCACATATTAAAACAATAATAATAAAATGTTTATTCAGAGGCTTGTAGAAGAATATAAATACAAGCTGTCAGGCATGGTTTCGGATTGATGGGAAACTGATTCTGAACAGTGGTAAACAAAATGGGGTACCTCTGCCTCGCTGTAATTGCACTGGTCGCTGTATCTGCAGTAAAATCAAATACGGAACTAGAAGATTACGTAAGTACATCACGTACGCAAGCCTATGGAATTAGAGCTGCTGATAGCGTAAACGATCAATAAGTTACCCACAGACAATATCCAAGTTTCGCTAGTGAACGTAAAATCATTTGACCGGGAGTTCAAACATTGTCACATGATATCTTTACTTGACCGCCTCTGTGGTTTAGGGGTCAGAGTTCCACGCTACAGATTCGGAGGTCCCGGGATCGATTCCCGGTGCTACCAGATTTTCTGAGAAGTAGTGGGTCTAGAACGGGGTCTACTCAGCCTCGAGGGGATAATTGAGGAGCTATTTCAAGCAAATAACGGTTCCGGTCTAGAAAACCGAGATTAACGGCCGGGGGGATCCGTTGCGCTAACCACGTGACACCCTCTATCCGCTAAAGTTGGCACTAATTTTGCCGACAGGCTGCGGTCGCTCGGTCGGTATAGTTCGCTTGCGGACTACAGGCTACGGAGTCTGTTGCTTTGTTTACCTTTACTTGCACTCATCGCCATACCAGAAATGTCTTTCAGGAAGTTTTCATTCCGCCGTCATTTAAAAAATTTTAAATATCAAATCCTCAGAAAATTTCTCACAAAGTAAGTGGGTGGGCCACATTAAAACTTGAGTCCTTCTTGAGAAGCCAACAGTGGTGCAGCCACACAATATGTACATTCGCAGCGCTTTATGGAACCAAGAGGTTCATTACTGTGTTCACAAGAGCACGCCACAGGTCTTCGTCCTTAGCGAGAAGCTTCCATTTCACACCCACAGCCTATTCATCTAAGACCAACTCTAATAATATCCCCCATCTAATTCCAGATATTCCCAGTATTCTCTTTCCTTCAGGTGTTCCTATCAACATCCTGTATGCACTGCACTTCGCTCCCCTTCGTGTTACATGCCCTGACCATCTCATCGTCCTTGACTTCATAATCCTAAGAATATTTTCCATACGAAAATTTTGTGGGTAGGTCTATACAGGCTAGCACGGAAAGCACAAAATGAACAAGATCAAACAACACATTTTTCCCGGCACTTCCGAAGCCGCACACCATAATGTGCGGCACTCTATACCAGACACGACTATGGTGTTCAAACCAAGGACTATATGGACGAAACATGTAACATGCATGGGGTAGATGAGAAATACACGCAAAATTTTATCAGGAAAATCTGAAGAGAAAAGATCCCTTGGGAGATCTAGGAATACATGGGGGATAATATTAAAATGGATCTAAAACTGGGTAAATGTACAGTGGATACAACTGCTTAGAGATAGGATCCAATGACATGCTCTTGAGAAGATGGCAATGAACCTCTGGGGCTCCTTAAAAGACGGGAAACCTCTTTATCGGTTGAACGTTCATTCCGTTTCTAGATGGAATTGGTTGCATTGGTTGCATCTGAAGCTGAATGAGTTTGTTTCCTTGTTAAAAACAGGCGATGATAAAACTGGTCTTCAAAAATAAAAAATCAAACTAAATTAAAGTAAATGGTAAGATTCTGTAATAAGAAAAGTTTTGAGGAAAGATCTGTTTGAATTGTCGTAACAGACAAAGTCATGGCGGCACGCGGTACCGTAGTTTATTGAGGCACTATACTACAAAGCTGGAAGATTGCGGGTTCGAGTCCCGATGAGGTGCATTTTTTCAAATTACCTAATCCTTCCAGTTGCACTATGGCCCTGGGGGTCGACTCAGCTTCTAACAGAAATGAGTACCAAGAATCTTCATGGGGGTAAAGGGCAGCCGGCCTGTACTATTCTTGTATCACAAATTTTTGGAATATTTAGTCGTGGTGGCAACAATTTTATTGCACGTGATTCCTGCATGTGACTGTTCAATAATGGTTGACTTTGCTTACATATGTATGCATTTGGTTCTGCTAATTTACAGCGTCTTAATTCCTCTCAACTTGTGGCAAAATAATATTATCTTATTTGATCAACATACAAAAGTTCATTACCTGTTTCACGGAAAACAAACCTATTTTTCTCTATACCCACTGGCGGTGGTATCAATCGAAACACCTTAAATGTACCTCTGCTCATTAAAGGTAAGCTTATTATGTAACTTAATATTCCATCTTTTATGTAAATGTGAATATCACACAGTTTCGAAATCAAACTGATTGAATCCTTGCTGAAAGTGAATGGTGCCATGGTATCCTTTGAAAATACTGAAGCACTTTTTTGTAATGTCTCCACAAGTAAATTTGGTAAAACTATTTGGGATTGCAAAATACCCTTTTGTGCGTTTATGACTCTTTATATCATCAAGTCCAAATTTCTCTGCATGGCAGGTTTTGTATTTTAGCCTATTGTAGCCTGCCCCGGGTGATTATGATGGAGAATTTGGTGGAAATGAAGATTGGCAGGGGAAACCGAAGTACTCGGAGAAAACCCGCCCCAGCGCCACTTTCTCCACCACAAATCCCAATTGACCAGACCCGGGATTGAACCCGGGCCGCCGCGGTGGGAAGCCACCGACTAACCGCTTGAGCTATGGCGCGGCCTATACATCCCATTTACTCTGCTCCTCATCTGTGTACTGTAGTAAATGCTCCTTCCGGATCCTGAGACTTCTTTCCAAACCTCCACTACTTTCCGGGTGGAAAGGGATAGTTTGCAACTTATTTCTTTTTAAAATCTCATAGGTGTTCCTGAATACCTCGCTCAGGAAATTTGGTCCTTTGTCTGTCAAAATTTTGCTAGGCGTTCCTAGTTTCAAAACAACATGCGTCACAAAATCCTGTGATACTGTTTCTGCGTCTTGTCTTTGCATACGTATCGCCACCAGAAATTTACTTGTCTTGAAAGGTTAGTATATATTTATTCCCTTTCTGTGTTTCTGGTAATGGTCCTACTATGTCCAAACATTTTTCGAAAGGTTAGTTGGCAGTAGCGATAATTTCCATTGGCACTTTTTACTGAGGACCTAACACTTTATTTATTTGGCAACTTTTACATTTTCTAACATAGTCTTCAATCTCCTGCTTCATGTTCGGCCATAAATGCTCACTCTTTATTGCACTGTAGGTTCTGTTCATACAAAGATGTCCCCCTAATGGTGCACCATGATACTCTTAAAAAATTTGCCTTTTTACTTCGTCATTATATTTCTGGCTGTGATTACCCTTTATTTTCTACAACAATTCCATTTATCCTACTCAACGCGTCGGCATTTCTGTTTGATGTCCCCTTTTTGTATATTATCTCGCAACCATATTTCCAGCGCTACCAGAGTTTCTGATAAGTAGTGGGTTTGGAACGGGGTCCACTCAGCCTCGTTAGGATAACTGAGGACCTATTTCAAGAAAATAGCGGCTCCGGTCTAGAAAACAGAGATTAACGGCAGTGAGGATCTGTTGCACTAATCATGCGACACCCTCTATCTGCAAAAGCTGGCACTAACTTCGCCGACAAGTGGCGGTCGCTCGGTCGGTATAGTTCGCTTGCGGACTACAGGCCACGGAGTTTTAATCATATTCTTCCAATTTTATCCTCCATCGTAGTAGCCTTGAACCTGCATCTTTTTATGTTCATTGTCCATGCGAGAGGTTTGTGATCACTCGCAATTTTGAATTTCCTCCCATACAGAGAGGGTGTAGAATGTTTTATTCCCCAAACTATTGTCAACAGTTCCTTCTCAATGGTTGAATAATTTTTCTCTGCCCTGTTCAGATTTTGGCTGGCATGGGCAATTGGAAAATCTTTCCCAATTTGACCTTGGGATAACACTGCTCCTACACCTTCATTGCTAGAGTCAGTGGTCAATATAAACTCTCTCGTAAAATCAGGATACTGCAATATGGGTCGCGACGTCAAGTTCTGTTTCAGTCCGTGTAAAGCATTTTCTTGGTCGTCTAACCATTCAAAGCGGACGTCCTTTTTAAGTAACTTGTACAAGGGCGCGGCAATTTTACTGAAACTGGACATAAATCTCCGATAATAGCTGGCCATACCCAGATAACTTTGTTTAGATGAAGTAGGTCGTGGAAAATTTTCTATGGCCTCAACCTTTTTTGGGATCCGGTCGCACACCTTCTTCGGTGATTACATGACCTAGGTAACTTACTGTGATACGAAGGAACTCACACTTGTCTGGCTGGAGTTTCAAATTGTATTTCCAAATCCTTCTGAAAAGTCCCTCAATTTTTCATCGTGCTCACTGAAAGATTTGGCACATATCACGATGTCATCTAAAAATACAAAGCATCGGGTACCTGTTAAGCCACATAATACATTGTTAATCATTCTCTGGAAAGTCGAAGGACCTGTCTTTAACCCAAAAGGGAGTCTTTTGTACGCTCAATGTCCACCTTTTGTATTGAAAGCGGTTTCTTTTTTCCTCCTCACTCAGCTCAATCTGATGGTAGCCCATTATCATATCCAAATAACTAAAATAGTTGTTAGCTTCGACTTTCTTGGCTGATCTAGTACCTCAGTTATGTCTGGTAGTGGATATGCATCACCAATTGTCTTTTTGTTCAGCGTTCTAAAATCCACTACTAGTCTTCATTTCTTTTCCCCACTCGCGTCGTCTTTCTTAGGTACCACAAACAGCGGACTATTTCCACGGAGAGTTGCTGTCTTCACTCACTCATTCTGGAGTAGCTTGTCTATTTGTTTATCTATTTCAGCCTTCTGGGCTTCGGGTAACCTATACGGTTTTGTATTTATGGGACTCATGCCGGATCGCATTTATGGAATGCTTTATTGCATTCGTGCAACTTAGTTTATCTCCTGGCAGATAAAATATGTCGTGATAGTCCCTACAAATTTTCCTTATAATTTCCTTCTCTGGATTGAGGTGATCTAATCGTAACTTTGCCAAAACCTCACCTATTTCTCACCATGGCTATGATCCTACATACTCATTGGGATTTCCTTCGTGGAATTCATCTGTATCGTATTTCTCAAATTTTTCCATTGGCATTGTCTAATGCAACTTCTGTCTCTTTTGTGTTCAACACACTAGTAACAACACGGTTACCACTTATCCTTATCCTCCGTCAGACATTTTAGACTTATCTATTATTCGTTCCTTCCCGTCTGTACCGTTTTCTACCAGTAACTTCACTATTACATCTGATCTCCCACGTAGGTTTAACTTTCTCATTTCCACAGCCCCCTTGAACTATCTTCTTAATTCCTTCCGGGCCGTCTGTATCGTTTTCCACCGGTAACTTCACAATTTTTTTTCGGATCACCTAGGTAGAGTCAATTTCTTCATTTCTATAGTTCCTTGAACTATTTCGTTATCCATTATTTTCTTAGTCCATTCCGCACACTCATTTGAATCTGACTCTATCATTGTACTATCGTAACTTTGGCCCTAGTGTGTTGCAGAAAGTATTTGATTCCCCTTCGTGGATACATATGTTCACTATGCCATGTGTTTCCACGATAGAACCATCTCTACTTTTGACTTTTACTTTTTGTTGGGGATCGAACTCAGCAGTCCCTAACAAGTTTGTACTCTTTACGATGCAAATATCAACCCCCGTGTCCAGTAAGAACTTTAATCTTCCTGAATAACTGCCGACTGTGAGCTGACAGTCCGCCCCCGTTTCCCATGGTCTCTAATCTTTGGCCTTCTTGACCTGACTTTTCCTTCCTCGATTTTTACATTCTTTAGCAAAATGACTCTTTTCTCCACAGGCAAAGCATATGATTTCTCGTGTCTGTTTATTCTTCTTGACGGAAAATTGGCTTACCTTATTTTCCCGTTTTTTTAACGCTTGCTACTTACATGTCCCACCTTTTTGCAAATAGTGCACTATAGTGAGTCACAATCTTGCCCTCTGTATCTTTCTAGTTTAGAAATAATTGCACTTTCCTCTTCCAGAGCGGTTTCTGCTATTTTGTCGAAATCATCGTGATTTCGGCTGCGGACAACTGTCTGTATTCTATCGGAATATAAACTTGCATAAAGCAAATATTTCGCAAACGATCCGAAATTGTTAAAATACAAGCCCTTTCTTCGTCCGTGCATTCAGTAAGTATAGCTTCCCGAAATTCCGAATCTAACGTTTCAATTTTTTGTATCCATCGTGATATACTATCTGATTTTCTTTGCCTAGCCTTGAATAATTGATTCGCATGGAAATCTAGTGTACGTTTCTCTATGTAGGTATTTCTGAAAAATTCCCGTAATTCTTCCCAGCTGTCAAAATGTCGATGTGCTATTGCCGTTCTCGGCTCCCCACTGATTCTAGTTAATACAAATTTGTATAATCTGTCCTGGTGATTGGGATTCATAACTTCAAATGCAATATTCACATTGGAGATGAACGTGAGGACCTCCTTTTTATTACCACTGAATGGCGTCACCAGTTTTAGCGCCTCGCTCACACCAATGTACTCTTCAGCCATGTTATCTAAACCATCTGCCCCAGCAGGGCCCGATGCCAGGAGTGACTGTGCCGGCTGATTGCAGGCATTAAGCTTCTGCTCTGCTCGCAGACTTTGACTCTGACAGACAGAGCGTGACCCTGAGAGTCGAAGGAGGCGACGAAAGGGGAAGTCTCAAATTTGAGACAGTAATATATAGTCTCGAGTACCAAGGGACTCGGACCCGAGAAAGACTGCGCTGACTAGGACTGGCAGCACATACAAAAGAAAAGGCCCGTCCTCTCGTCAGAGAGGGCGCCCACAAGAAATAAGACCGTAACTGTCAAACAGTAATAAAGATCTGGTCGTAAGCCCCAGATGGCTGCTTTATGCCAAGACAGACTGGCCGACTGACCGTCAGTCGTAAAATGAGACTCAGACTCAGACAGGCAGCATTAGCAGGCGTCGAGATATAGCTGACTTCTAGCAGTCACAGAGTTCAGTGGACAGTTGGGTTCTAGCAGAAGCAGTAATTGTGATACTGAATAATAATTGTGAATACTTGTTCTTGTAAGTGTAAAGTGTGTGTCCAATAAATATTCGTCCAAATGCGAAACCTACGTGGAAGTTACTTGTCACGTTGGCTATAGCTCAAGCGGTTAGTAGCTGGCTTCCCACCGCGGCGGCCCGGGTTCGATCCCGGGTCTCGTCAAGTGGGATTTGTGGACAAAATGGCGCTGGGGCGGGTTTTCTACGAGTACTTCGGTTTCCCTTACCAATCTTCATTCCACCAAATTCTCCATCATCATAATCACCCGTGGCAGGCTACAAATAGGCCCATCAGTGGCCGCCGTGCCGAGTGGACCCAGTTGGACTCCACCCCCCACTAAGCGAATTAAAAAAAAAATTGCTTCGCGCGTTACCTACGTAACGGGTTACAACTGGTTTCTCCGAAGCAGATTATCAGGGACGCATGAATAAACGCTAGATAAGCAACATACAACAATATACGTATATAAATGCTGTCAGGGATATTGTATCGCATTGATGTGAGACTGAATCTGAACAGTAGTAAACAAAATGGGGTACCTCTGCTTCGCTGTAATTGCACTGGTCGCTGTATCTGCAGTAAAATCAAATACAGAAAACGAAGATTACGTAAGTACATCACGTACAATTATATTTGTTGATAGAGAAAACGATCAGTAAGTTAACCACTGACAATACTGAAGAATCGCTAGTGAACGTAAAATCATCTGACCGGGAGTTCAAACATTGTCACATGATATCTTTACTTGACCGCCTCTGTGGTTTAGGGGTCACAGTTCCACGCTACAGATCCGGAGGTCCCGGGATCGATTCCCGGTGCTACCAGATTTTCTGAGAAGTAGTGGGTCTGGAACGGGGTCTACTCAGCCTCGAGAGGATAATTGAGGAGCTATTTCAAGCAAATAGCGGTTCCGGTCTAGAAAACCGAGATTAACGGCCATGGGGATCCGTTGCGCTAACCACGTGACACCCTCTATCCGCTAAAGTTGGCACTAACTTTGCCGATAGGCTGCGGTCGCTCGGTCGGTATAGTTCGCTTGCGGACTACAGGCCACGGAGTTTGTTGCTTTGCTTACCTTTACTGGCACTCATCGCCATACCAGAAACGTCTTTCAGGAAGTTTTCATTCCGCCGTAATTTCACAAATTTTAAATATCAAATCCTCAGAAAATTTCTCACAAAGTAAGTGGGTGGGCCAAATTAAAACTTGAGTCCTTCTTGAGAAGCCAACGGTGGTGCAGCCACACAATATGGAACCAAGAGGTTCATTACTGTGTTCACAAGAGCACGCCACAGGTCTTCGTCCTTAGCGAGAAGCTTCCATTTCACACCCACAGCCTATTCATCTAAGACCAACTCTAATAATATCCCCCATCTAATTCCAGATATTCCCAGTATTCTCTTTCCTTCAGGTGTTCCTATCAACATCCTGTATGCACTGCACTTCGCTCCCCTTCGTGTTACATGCCCTGACCATCTCATCGTCCTTGACTTCATAATCCTAAGAATATTTTCCATACGAAAATTTTGTGGGTAGGTCTATACAGGCTAGCACGGAAAGCACAAAATGAACAAGATCAAACAACACATTTTTCCCGGCACATCCGAAGCCGCACACCATAATGTGCAGTACTTTATACCAGACACGACTAAGGTGTTCAAACCAAGGACTAAATGGACGAAACATGTAAAATGCATGGGGTAGATCAGAAAAACCCCGCGGCGTGTACTACAGAACCTCTTTTATGTATACACGATCGGGTGTCATAAATTGAAAATAATTTTATTTTACATTTTGAACGAAATAATTACACAATAGTTCGCCGTATCTTATTTTCGTATGTAATTGTCCTACTTTACAATTAAATTTGCCCAGCGGATTATACATTTCCACATTCTATCACAATATTCTCGGGGTAGCCTCAAACCTTTCTTGTTCAGCTGCTTTCCATGACTGAGGCCCATTTAAGATGCAATGTGTTGAATGCCAATTAACTGGATTTCCCAGAAGCGCCGACTGGCATCTGCTTAATCTCAACACGTTACAGTCGATGGCAGCCAAACGTTCGTCAAAACATCAGCCCGTCGACACCCAAACGTCCGTCAAAACATCCGCCCGTCGACACCCAAACGTCCGTCAAAACATCAGCCCGTCGAAACCCTAACGTCCGTCAAAACATCAGCCCGTCGAAACCCTAACGTCCGTCAAAACATCAGCCCGTCGAAACCCAAACGCTGTTCAAAACATCAGCCCGTCACCCTTTCGATACTTCACGCATTCGTAAACTCACTTCTAGCTCATACAGTTGTCGCCATACCGAAATGCCCTTTAACACATTTTAAGAGTTCAAACACAGTGGCTACAGAAATCGGTGACAGATAAAGGTCCTTTTTGGTGTACCCTATCGAAATTAAATTTGTCACAGTATTTTCAGTCTTCAAGAAACAACACAAATTAGGCCCCAATGAAAGGAGGCTCACACTACGAGTACTTATATCTGACACATCCCCCTCCCCCGTAAAACCAACCTTTAATTTTTTGCTTTTCATATTTCGTGCCCTCCGTATGTGCAGCATACGAGTGCAGAATGTTAAACAGAATAAGAAATGCACTTAGAATTGTTATGTGAATTACATTTTATTTTCGTATGCATTCAGAACCTGCTGTGGGATGACAAGGAAAACCTAACACCGAGTGTATGAACCCGGAAGACAGTATCTTACATTACCCACAGTTAATTATAACATTTGGGTTACATTCAACAAATACTAGAAGCTTTACTCTACCTCAGAAATAAGAAGCAAAATTTATTTCTAAGTTCTGATGTGACTATATAATTGGATTTAGCTGAAGCTGAAATCGAAATGTTTCAGGACCGTATCGAAATGTCGCTTGAGACAACCAAGAACTGTAAGGACCTTCCTAATGGAAAAATCAGACTTAATGACATCGTCATTGAACAACTTGGAAGAAACAAAATGGCCATAAGTGGTACGCTGGATGTGGAGGTACCGGTGACGGACAGTTTTAAGGTAGGTAAAGTAACGATTTAACTTGCTCACTCATGGAGCTGAGCTCTTCTAGAGGAGCCGCCCATTCTGCAGCTACTCCAGAACTTTCCAGCATTTTATGGAACCCGAAGATTAATTACCGTGTTCACAATAGCCCTTCACTGGCCCCTATCCAATCCATACCATCCCATTCTATCTCTCTAAGATCCATTTTAATATTGTCCACCCACCTACGCCTCTGTCTTCCCAGTGGTCTCTTTCCTTCTGGCTTTCCCACCAATATCCTATATGCATGCCTCTTCTCCCCCACTCGCGCTACATGCCCTGCCCACCTCATCCTCCTTGAGTTGATCATTCTAATTATACTTGGAGAGGAGTACAAGTTATGATGCTCCTCTAACAGCAAAAAAAAAAAGTAAGTAAGTAAGTAAAGGTATGTTAGTCGTGCTTTCGTTACTTAACAGCTGTTTAATGCATCAAGCGATCACTATGTGCCTATTGTACAGAAAATAATGGAACACTGGTCAATTCGTAATATACATATACATGAAACTGCCATAATATACGAGTGAATTCCATTAACTACAGAGTTCATTCTGAGAAAAACTTCGGCCAATAACGGGTGTTTTCGATAGTATTAAAATAAGTATTAACAAAAGCTCCATACAATTCGAAAATCGCTACTATTTTGACTTTACTTTCACACACTCAGTCTCGATTCACGTACTTCGTAACAGTTTATGTTTATGTGGTACAGGCGAACACTTCTAACCTTAACATGAAGAACAATGGTAACCATCTACCAGACTATAAAGCCATACCACTGAATACCAGAACCATAATATCCCCCAATGAACTTAAACACACAGAACAGCTTTTTGCCTCAATGCATTACACTGACTTTCACCCTCCAACACCATTTCAAGGCTGTGAAATAGCAGCAGCTACTTTTTCTAATTTTATGTACACACAGAACTAAAACGCCGTATTACGTAAATCACTTCAGCTAAACAATCAACATTTAAGCCGTTATCTTAAAGACTCGCGGCGTAAAACTCTTCATTCGTCACACGGCTGGCATCGTGATAAGCACACAACGTACGCATAGCTCTGCTACGTCTGATGTCACGCTGAAGATAATACAGTACGATCTCCCAGCAAAGGAAAAGCTCAAACATTTAGTGTACTTCAATAAACAAAGGGGTACGTGGTAGCGTAGTTGGTCGAGGCACTACGCTACAAGCTGGAAGGTTGCGGGTTCAAGTCCCGATGAGGTGGATTTTTTGACAATTGACCTAACCCTTCCAGCCGCACTATGGCCATGGGGTCGACTCAGCGTCTAACAGAAATGAGTACCAGGAATCTTCCTGGGAGGTAAAGGGCGGCCTGCCTGTAGGGCCGACAACTTTACCGCCATCTGTGAGCCGACTGTCTAGAAAATGTGGGAGAATCGACGTCTCACAACCCTATGGGCCTCCACGGCCTCTTAACAGAGATAGCTTTTACTACAAAAAACAAGAAGCCCTTGGAAGAACTAATCGCATACTTACATTCGATACGACAGAGGCAGTAGAGAAAAAGACGCGTCCAACAATTCTACTGTTGCGTGAACGTGTTTACCGAGCTGTTGCCAAGCGACGTAGGGCTGACAACTTTACAGCCATCTGTGAGCCGACTGTCTAGAAAATGTGGGAGAATAGACGTTTCACAACCCTATGGGCCTCCACGGCCTCTTACAGGGATAGCTTTTACTACAAAAACAAGAAGCCCTTGGAAGAACTAATCGCATACTTACATTCGATACGACAGAGGCAGTATAGAAAAAGACGCGTTCAACAATTCTACTGTTGCGTGAACGTGTTTACCGAGCTGTTACCAAGCGACGTTAGGTGGGGATATACATACAGACTGATGGGAGGGATTTATGAAAAACGCTGCTGAGAAGAGTTCAGGTGCCATCATATACATACGAAGTTTCCTACAGACTGCTTCAGGAATTTACATGTTGTGATAATAAACAATGCATTACGATCCATGTCCAAGGCGTTATTTAGCATACAAATTAACACACTGGAGCAGCCCCCAGATTCATAATACATTCAACACAGCACTACGCTAGGCGAACAGCATCCACATCATGAGAAGCTACAAACGAAGTGGATTCAAATGATCTACCCCATACTGGAACCTTCAACTCTATAGGAGGGATTATCCTTGTACTCTCCATAATAATTTTATATAATATTACTTTAATATTTTTAACATTTTTATTACTTTAATATTTTTTAACATTTTTATTACTTTTATAACTTTAGTTATTTTAGTAGTGTAATATCTCAATCTTTATTCGTATTATAGGAGCTGGAATCCTTCAGTCGGTATAGCGACTGGCTACGAGCTTGAGGACGGAGGAGTCCGAATTCGAGGCCTGGTGGGGTTAGGATTTTCTCTTCTCCATGTCCTGGAGACCGGCTATGGGGCCCACCCAACCTCCTATACAATGGGAATTGGGGGCTCTTTCCTTGGGGGTAAAGCTTCCGGGGCGTGAAACCCACAATTCACCTCCAACTAGTGCTGAGGTCAAGAAAATGTGGATCTATACATCCACTCCCCATACGCCTTCATGGCTTAGTGCTTAATGAGTTAAGAATAGGGACAACTTTACCTTATTCGTATTATAAAATCACATACTCGTAATATCCAACATATTTTAATTATCTCGACGAATATTTTAAATACGAATTCTTGTACACTCTAATACTTGTATTTCCAATTTTTCTATATATAGTAATTTTTCATCATAACGCATGGCACAATTTTTCTACAACTTCTATAATACCGACGCGTTGCACCCCAACACGGATCCATATTATGATTTCAATTAACTTTATAGTATTTCTTACATACACTGCCTGATGATGGTCCCATGAGCGCCGAAACACGCAGCGGTAAACAATAAAATTCAGTCTATGCGATACTGATTTTAACTGTAATACCATTTTTCTTTTTGTGCCGACGGATACGTTACGTAACCATATATTCAAAAGTTTAGGGGGGGGGACACACACACATCAATTATGATCTCATAAACTTACTTGTGTTCACTGTGACGTTAACAAAATGAGACGTAAGATGGAAAATTAATGGCAGACTGCTCTACTAAAAGCCGAAGGCTACTGACGAATGTCATGTACGTATCAACTGGAATAATGGAGGGGGGAGCGTTCGAGTACCGGTTAAGTATATAATGAGCAGTGTACACGTTTAAATTTAAATAGGAAAGCCAGTCGTTGTCTTTTAAGCCGTTTACTAGTAACTGGAAGTTACCTGGCAGCACTCTAACCAGCTGCAACCAGGACACATCATAACAGGCAACATAGCTCGTAGAATTCCACTACTTAGTACACACCACCTAAGATAACTGTCACGCCAAAAAACAACTGAAACACAACGCACACTCCATTGCACATCCAAAATATATTACACATACAAGACCATACCAACAACTACTATGTACTTGAATGCCATGTCGCGTTCATGAAATACAACATTCTTCACCAAAACTCCTAACTCCATAGAGCTGAGCCCTTCTTGAGAAGCCACCAGTTGTGCAACTATTCCAGAAATTTCCAACATTTTATGGAACCAGAAAGATTATTACTGTGTTCATAAAAGCCCTCCGCTGGTCCCTATCCTGAGCCAGATCAATCCAATCCATACCACACCATCATATCTAAGATCTATTTTAATATTACCCACACACCTATGTCTTGGTCTTCCTAGTGGTCTATTTCTTTCTGGCTTTCCCAGCAATACCCTCATTCGTACTACATTCCCTGCCCATCATCATCCTTGAATTGATCATTGTAATTATACTTTGCGAATCGTACGAGTTATCTATCTATCTATCTATCTATCTATGTCTGTCTGTCTGTCCGCCCGTCCACCCATTTATCTCTGTCTTCTTTCCTGCTGCTCCCACTTGGAGCACAGGGCATCCGTGAAACGCTTGGTTTCATTTCTGTTTCTTATTCTTAGACAGCCGGTAGGTCTCATCGGACGGGTGATCGGCCCATCGCAAGGGCGCTACCGTCACATAAACACAGAATAAACACATACAAAAACATCCATTCCTTGAGTGCGATTCGAACCCATGATCCCAGTGTTCGCGCGTGCGAAGATATTTAAGGCCTTAAACCGCTCGGCCACTGTGATCGGCTTACTCTGAATACAGTGTGTCCACAAAGTCCCGACGGGGTTTTGAAAAACTGTTACGCGCAAACAAATTGAGCTGGCAACATGCGGTTTCCGATAGATCATAGAGAAACTCTGGAAGTCTTTTGCTGACGTCAGTAGACCAAGATGTGTGCTGCCTTGGTAGCATGGAGAACGTCCAGACGATATTCGAGCTCTTGCCATGTTCTCTGGAGCATGTCCGCTGGAATAGCCGGGATCGCATTCCTGATATGGGTCTTCAGGTCATGAAGTCCGTTAACTGGTGTTCGGAACACAACGCTCTGGACAAAACCCCGCAGGAAAAAATCCAGTGGTGAACGTGGAGGCCAAGGCATTGGACGGTCTCTGCCGATCCATCTTCTTGGAAATGTCCTGTCTAGGAATGCAGATTTTTTCCTGCGGGGTTTTGTCAAGATCAGTGGGTTCTGAACACCAGTTAACGGACTTCATGACCTGAAGACCTGTATCAGGAATGCGATCCCGGCTATTCCAGCGGACATGCTCCACAGAACATGGCAAGAGCTCGAATATCGTCTGGACGTTCTCCGTGCTACCAAGGGAGCACGCATCGAGGTCTACTTAAGTCAGTAAAAAACTTCCAGAGTTTCTCTATGATCTGCTGCAAAACGCATGTGGCTAGCTCAATTTGTTTGCGCGCCACAATTTTTCAAAACCCCGACGGGAATTTGTGGACACACTGTATAACAGGTTTAAACTGCTAGTTGCTAGTGGTACATGAACAGTGAACCGACGCATTCGGTTATTGTCTAGATGAATGGAAGATTAATATAAACATGTCTGGTATGTTTCAGTTGAAAGTTATGTTAACTAAGTGTCCCAGCAAGTTAGACAGACATATGTGTGAAGATTTTCCAGAAACAATGATAAACGATTTCTGCAAGAAACTTCCAAAAGAGGGACAAGTGTGGTCTGATTTTGTAAAAGATCTGAAACATTTTGATCCACACTGCCCAATACCAAAAGTAAGTATGCAGTCTCCATAAAATTTAATTCATATTAGGTAGAAAATAATGAAATACCTAAAATATTTATTTGGAAGTCGGCATTAGTGCTTTTAACATATATTCCTGGAAAGGGGCCCAATCAGCCTCTTGCGGATAATTAAAGAGCTATTTCTAGGAAATAGCGGCTCCGGTCTCGAAAACCGAGATTAACGGCCGTGGGGATCCGTTGCGCTGACCACGCGACACCCTCTATCCGCTTAAGTTGGCACTAACTTCGCCGACAAGCGTCAGTCGCTCGGTCGGTATAGTTCGCGTGCGGACTAAAACCACGGAGTTTGTTTATATTCAGTTATATGCAGATGGCCATACCATAGCTCAGAAGTGTGGATACTGCCTTTTCACTGCGAAAACCTGATTTCGAATCTTATAATAAAAAAAGAAACCTTTCGATAAGGAATCAAGTTCCGCTATGGTCAGTATTTGCGACTGATCTGTGTAAAATATGAAACTCAATTAAATACTTTTCTTTCTCTCTCAAAGGGGCATTATAAATTTCACCGCCATCCGATTGATGTGGAAGGAGTGGCAAATATGCCTCTCATGGAAGGATACTGGATAATGATATGCGAAGGATACATTCACGGCGAGAGGGTGATGTGCGAACGAACTGAGATGGTATACAGCAGGAAAGTAAGGAGACACCATGCCTAAGATTGGAAGATATAAACACACAGAAATATGGATTTTAACATGAATTAAATTGTTATTCTAGTATTCATATTATTCAATATTCACTACAAACCCTTTCTATCCTTTGCATTTAAGTATAGCTTAAAAGCCTAAATTCTTATTTAAGAACTGCAGGTCTTCTATTTTACTGATTAAAATTCATTAATTTGGCAATCCATTTTGTTAACAAATTTAAACATTCTTGGAGAATGCAATTCTCTATACATATATCATTCATAAGAGATATATAAAAATAATTATACTTGATAAGTGTTTCTTCTATTTTGAGGAAAAATCGACTCGGCATAATATATTATTCAAAATGGCCGAAGAGTTACGCGAGTATTCTGCATCAAAAGAAATGTGATCTGTAGTTGGTTAGTTATTGGAGAGGGTGGGTTTCCCCATGCACTTAGACTAGTATTGGTCCATTGTGCTTCCCTCTATGATATTCTACCAGTCTCTATACCCTACCGATATTGGTGCGTACCACCAGTCCCGACCGAGCCAGCGAGTTCGGCCTCTACTGGCTTGGCGGTATCTATGCTTCCCCCATCTATCAGAGGCATTAGAGACTACTGTTGTGCGGGAAACGTCCTTGAATTTGGCTCAGTGACCTCCTTTGGAGATATGAGGTTCTTTTACGTGCCGTAAAGCTACGACACGGGACCCACGGCTTAAAGTCCCTCCCAGAGGACTTGTTCCCTGGATTTTTCCGCCCTTAAAAATTCCACGACCTCCGCCGGGTTTGAACCCGCGTACCACGAGTCATGAGATGGGAACGTTACCTTTAGACTACGGAGGCCGCTAATTTGATCTTAAGTAGTTCCCTTCAAACTTTATTAAGGGCAAAGGAAAAAGTTAAAGCCGCAGTATAAGGCTTTATTTTCACTGACCATGGTTTTTACTTCACGAATTCTTCTTGTAAAAACACACATGTTTCATACTACACAAAAGTATACTGAAGCGGTTACTTAATAATGCAAACATTGGTGAATTATGTGTGATAGAGGAACGCGTCTATCATATTAACAAACTGCCAGAATTTCAAAGTGTGCATGTCAAATATGCGGTAAAGCAACTGAAATTTCTTAATTTTGAAAAATCCTCCAACAATAAGGTCCCTTAAAATTTTTAGGATACTCCAAAATAAATTACACATATTTAAGACCTGTAATTTATCTTCAATACTCCTTTCGTTCCAATATCTCTTTGTACCTTTATACTTCACACGCGCTTGCATCGCCTTTTTAGGAGATTTGATCTACGGCTCCTAGATTTGTCAGTTAATGTAATCTGTTATGAAATAAAAATATGCACCACATGTGAGGTCTACTTTTCCTCCAGCTGATGCCACTCTAAACGGTTATGGCAATTAACACCAGAAACACAGTTCTTACTAAGAAACCAATTGTTATTCAGCTATTCGAGAATACTCAAGCTCCTTATAGAACGTGGAGACGCATTATCCCGCTCAGAAGAACCCGCTACTGGATCCATCCGCATGCCAGATAAATCCAGTCCTCGCCGTTTTTTAAGGATCGTATTCTTTCTTTCTCTACAACTCACGGGTGCAGTCCAGTAAACTGCTGCTGGTCCTAACCAGCACAGTCAGTCATGGTTTCGGGATATTTTTAGTCTGTCCTAACTTCTACGTGTTTTGAAATGGCGTCTTCTCTTCGACGAGAGGACGGGTCTGACTATTATTGGTCACTCCCCGTCTACACTGAAGTCCGTGGCTTTCAGTCCGCAAGCGAACTATACCGACCGAGCGAACGCCGCTTGTCGTCAAAGTTAGTGTCAACTTTTGCGGATAGAGGGTGTCGCGTGGTCAGCGCAACGGATCCCCACGGCCTTTAATCTCGGTTTTCTAGACCGAAGCCGCTATATCCTTGAAATAGCTCCTCAATTATCCTCACGAGGCTGAGTGGACCCCGTTCCAGACCCACTACTTCTCAGAAAATCTGGTAGGGCCGGAAATCGAACTCGGGACCTCTGGATCTGTAGGCAGGAACTCTGACCACTAGAACACAGAGGCGGTCTTTTCATACGTAGTAATCCACAACAAAGTCTAGTTTACACAGGACCATAAATTAACTTTCCTCTATATTGTATAACACGTTTCGCACATTTTGCTGAGCGTTGAAATGACCGAACACGTTGGGCAATATTATTATTTATTGAATAAAGGCATACGTGCACTATATGGAACCTCTGAATTCAACATGAATATGTAAGTTTTGAGGTTTTCACGGCGATGACTATGAAGAAAGTCGTCTTCTGGTTTTTGGCGCCGTGTATTCTTCGTTTTGGCCGACGTTTCGGCGGAACGTATCGCCTCCATCTTCAGAGCAGGTGAATGGCTTTGTGAATGCAGAGCAGTAGCTACTGCTCTCTGCATTCACAAGCCATTCACCTGCTCTGAAGATGGAGGCGATACGTTCCTCCGAAACGTCGGCCAAAACCCAGAAGACGACTTCCTTCAACATGAATACTTTTACGGGTTTCCTTTCTGCATTTCTTTATTTCCACTTTCGAAAGTGTATAACTTGATTTCAAGAAATACAGCTGGAAAGTCTGTGTTGACACTACATTATGGATTACACCCATTCCAATCTTGTCCTACTTCAGACACGAGGGAGAAAGAGAGAGAAAACGAGCGAGAGAGTTGTTCCTCTGTTTGTGATCCGCGCTGGATAAAGTGGCGGAAAATGTACGAGAGCAAAGTCTGCGTCTTAAGCAGGCTTCTTCTTGTACTTATCGCGGGAAATATTTTCCATTATGGAGGGAAAGGCCATAATGGGAAAAAATGTTAAAACTCTTACCTAAGCTTATGAATTTAATCTGAAAATATGACAAAAGAAGCATATGAAACACATAAACTGGTAGAATGTTCAAGGAGCGTGGAAATAGTCGTGGAAGGAAGAAAAAAAGAAAATGACAACACCTACATTGGAATGGTGTTCGACAAGTTATTGAGTCTCCGAAAAAAAAAATCAGCGTCGTGTGTCCAGAGAACACGAAGTGAAGACATCACTTCGCTGAAACGTGAAATGCTTGGTGGGATTCCGTACTGGATGGAAATGATATATTATGTGTCAGACACATCTGACAGGCTACACATGGTACAGTACAGTGCACGAATTTCTCAAATTCAGCGACATTACATTTAAATTTCCGACGAATACTGTGACGTGTATACCCATTGCTACGTAACGACTCGGTAAACACGCCTCAACAATAGTGTGACTGTTTTCGATGTGGTCCGTGCCGCAATCGCTGCTTGCAATGGCGTGGTAAACACATCTAAAACAATACGGGACCCTGCGAGTCGTAGGAGGCGACGAAACGGGAAGTCTCAAATCTGAGACAGTAAAATATAGTCGCGCGTCCCAAGGGAATCAGACCCGAGAAAGACTGCACTGGCAAGGGCCAGTAGCATATACAAAAGAAAGACCCGTCTTCTCGTCAGAGAGGGCGCCCCACAAAAACAAGACTGTAAATGCCAAACAGTAATAAATATTTAGTCGTGTGCTCCAGATGGAGCTCGACACTTAAGACTTCCTGACTGACTGACCGTCAGTTGCAATGAGACTTGGACTTGGGACAAGAGAAGACGGCGTTTACCGTCGGGTCCGTGCAAAATGTTTATAAAGAAGAATTCAACTGACCAGCACAGATTGATGCCAGCCTGCCGGGATATGAGCTTGGCAGCAGAGGAATGGAATTGAGTCGACAATATGGGCAAGAAAGGAATTAGGCTGTGCAAAGAGGACTTCATGTGTGATTTGAAGTTACAGTGAGTCGGTTATAAATCCGTTGCCAGTATACGACTACTGAAGCCTGGTAATCCTAGTAGTGCGTGTTTAACAGTGAACTGTAATGCGTGGAAATAGCGGTACCGCTATAATTGCCTGCAGTCGCAAGTTGTGAATGTATAAGGTGCAATAAATCCAATCCTAAACCCATCTTATGTCACCCTTGCACGTGACAACGTGCTTCCGTGGTTCCAAATACCAGATGAACTTGTAGAGACCCTGAATACTGAAACGGTGATAATACGGTGTGACATCTCCCAACATGGAACTACTGATTTGTGCTTTATTATGGATAAAAATTGCAACAACGGTCTGTCAATCAAGAGGGTTCCCAGACAATCGATTTGACAGCATTCCTTCGTAACAACAGAAGCTGTCGCGTCATAAAAATCGTACCTCGCAAAGCAAAGGCTTCAGCAAGAAAGCACTTCGCCTCATAAAGCTAGAGAAACACTAGAAATGGACAACGTCCCAGTTTTCTAAAAAAACTGATTTTTGCTATCCTTCACACACTCCAATTTCACGCTGCCAGATGTCTAGCGCGACTTCTAACACACAGCAAATGTTGTGTTCTCCTATACAGAAATCTGTAAGAGCTATTGGAGAACATCACAAATATACTGCACAGCATATCGCATGTCAGTTTTCAGATGTGTGAAAAATCTTAACAAACAACATGAGATGTTCTATCAACGTGAGGAGGCACATTCTGAGCGAGACCAAAACGTGTAATCGCATATCGTAAAAATATTTATTGCGGGCCGCTTTACATTTGGAGTTGCACACACACACACAAAAACAAACTCCGTGGTTTTAGTCCGCAAGCAAACTATACCGACCGAGCGATTGACGCTTGTCGGCGAAGTTACTGCCAACTTTAGAGGATAGAGGGTGTCGCGTGGTCAGCGCAACGAATCCCCCACGGCCGTTAATTCCGGTTTTCTAGACCGCAGCCGCTATTTCCTTGACACAGCTCCTCAAGTATCCTCACGAGGCTGAGTGCACCCCGTTCCAGACCCACTACTTTCCAGAAAATCTGGCAGCGCCGGGAATCGAACCCGGACCTCTGGATCTGTAGCTAAGAACTCTGACCATTAGACCACAGAGGCGGTCTGGAGTTGCGTACACGCAAAAACATAGACCAAAAACCTGGATGGACGAAACGATTTCGGAAACCTAGCCACAATTGTGAGTATAATATTCATCGTCACTCATTGCAAGGTTTAGACCTTGTGATCTGTCTCGATATTCGGGCTAGACGAATTAATCCTTCCATCGAATTCCTCGGAAGCTCTTTGACTATGTTAATAAGTTTCATGTCTTTCAAGTTTGTTAGTTAAGGAAACTGCAATTATCGGGATTGTTCAGCATCGATGACAAGATCATTAATACATGTCCAGCAGTTGGCAGAATAAGAATGGGCAGGGGAAAAAAGTACTTGGAGAAAACCCGACCCAGTGACATTGTGTCCACCTCAAGTCCCGAATGTCCTAATATGGGATCGAATTCGGGCCGCCGTGACGACTATCCAAATAATTCCATGATAAAAATTTCAATAGACGGTAAGATTTACCAAATTCCACGTCCATGGTGCTCTGGGGTGTCTACTCTCTTAAAGTCTGAGACGTAAGAAATTATCGTATTACGGACGTTACCACACTCCTCTTTTCATCTTGCCTCTAAACTTTAAGTCTGAATTTACTTTGTTATATTTTCTAAAAAGAAAAAAAAGTTTGCAGTTGAAGTTCGCGTAACAGGGGAGAGCGATCAAGAAGCATTACAATGCAAACTGCAAAAGCAGTGACTAAACCCCCCGTCAACTCCCATTATCACCGAGTCACTGAAATAATTCTACAATAGGCGTAAACAAAGATTACCATCTTCTTGACTTAGAGGAAGGAGAGGGGGAGACAACACCGCTGTTGTACGACGTACTCTGACCTCAAGTGTAATGGAATTACTGGCACTCAGCGGGGAATGTTAAACAGTAAACCCTATATATCGACTTGCCTCCAATAACCGGTTTCATTATCCATTAAATGCAATGAACATTGGGGGCACGAGGAAGCGTAGTTGGTTGAGGCACTATGCTACAAGCCCGAAGGTCACGGGTTCGATTTCCTATCAGGTCACTGGATTTTTCAATTACCTAATCCTTCCAGCCACACTATGGTCCTGGGATCGACCCAGCCTCTAACATGAATCTTCCTGGGGGTAATGGGATGCCGGCGGGTAAGACTTACAACCTCACGGCCGTCTGGGAGCTGATTGTGCAGAAAATGTGGAAGCCTCAATGCCTCACAACCCTATTGGCCACTACGGCCTCTTACGGCCGTAGTATCTATCTATCTATCTATCTATCTATCTATCTATCTATCTATCTATCTATCTATCTATCTATCTATCTATCTATCTATCTACCTATCTATCTATCCATGGCTCTATAGTCCTTGTGGACCTTGGCCGCTTTTTTTTCACTTTCCTAATCTATACACAGTCGGTAGGACTCCTTATACAGGGGATCAGCCTTTTGCAAGGCCGCTACCTACGCACAGAATAAACACATACATCCATGTCTCGAGTGCGATTCGAACCCACGATCCCAGTGTTCAAGCGAGCGAAGAAGGTTCATGCCTTAGACCGAGCGGCCACTGTGATGCTCTAGCTTCACCACGATTAACAATACTTGTGACCTGAGATGATACGGATGACTATAGACAAAGAGCGACGGCCTACTCTTCAAGACTCGATTTATATTAAGGTAGTGCAAAGCCGAAACACGCCTCATCCCTGGTTCTTTTCATTTCATCACCTGATTGGTATAGACTTGTAATCAGGAGGTTCTCGGCTCGAATCTCGGCCGGGACACTGCCTATCCTAAGGACAATCGTGCTTTTCCTTAATCCATCCGGACAAATATAGGGATAGTACTCGTACATTGATTAGGCCAGGCACGTTACCTGCGAAGTCCTTTCCAATTCATTCTTCATACATCATCCTGCCATCCGACGCTATATAGCCTTGATACTGAAGAGAATCATTAAGTAACCACGTCAAAAAAGAGAGTAATCATCTTTCGCTATATAAGTTAAGACCTGACACATATTTCGCTCACACAAAGTTCATATTTACATATGTTGTGCCCCAGGTTATTAATGGGTATGCTTTATCCGAACAAGGGGTCAAATTTACGTTTTATTAATTAGAAAATAATTATAAGTTTTATAAATTTAAATACGTCGGGTGAACCACGAGTTGGAAACCCGCCGGAAGTCAGAGTTGAGACGCCGTACATTCTTTAGCCATCCGGTGTCAGTTGCACAGTCTAGAAAGTGCTGACAGTGAAGGGACGAAACGAGGCAAGTCTCGCCACCGCACAGTTGGCTGACTTTAGGGGTTTTGAGCGAGCAGCTTTCCGTGATGTTGAATGTTGAGGGGTTCAGACGGGAGGAGCCGCGAACACTCAGATTTTAAGAGTCGCTCGGAACAGTCGCGTGGTAGGAAGCAGACGCAATGGAGTCAGATGTCTTCCTTTTTGTGAGCGTGAGTACCTGCCTGTGTTCGGATCACTGATTGTTGTCAATATATGATTCTGGTTGGTTAATGTGTTCTTTTAGTGTATAAACTTTGGAGTGTAACAGAGTAATTCTGGATTCTTGAGTGATGGTTTAGATACTAGTGTTTGGTTTAGTAATTAAGTTTGGATGGTATCCATTTTATTTATACTGCCATGTTGGTTTGAGGTTGCAGAAAATGCTAATCATGTGAGTTTGGTGATTTAAAGAAATTTGAAAGTGCTCGTGCATTTGAATATTTTGTTCGTCAACATTTATGCAATTGTTACATACCAAAATGATAGAATTTTGTACGAAAAGGCGAATGATCTTGGCTATCACATTTCTAGGAGGATTGACTTTGCTGGTTCTTTTTGTGGAAAGCAACTGGACTCCGGGTAAAGGCAGGAACCATGTAGCAGTAGTGGACAAGAATTCGAGTAATGAGAATAATTGTTGGTTGTATGAAGAGTTTAAAATAGTAGAAGCATGTCATCCGTGTATTGAGTTTGGAGTTTCAAGTAAAAGTGTTGGTTTGTGCCATTTAGGTTTAGCATATTATGGACAGTTAAATGTAGGAATTTAAAACCAGGGGTTTAATCGAAGGTTCTGTGTGTATTGCCAGGTTGTTTGTTGTAATGGTGTTTTATTTCATTATATTTTATTTTATTTTATTTTATTGTTGTTGGTGAGTACTCGATGTATTTGTGGATCCCCCTAGTGCAAGCACGTTTTCCACAGCATAGGCTAAGAGATATCCACGGACGTCCGATAGGGGGCGACTACAGTCACTGACCCCTATCAGGGCACGACAAATTGGTGGTAGCGGTAAGATGTAAGGAGATATTTTAGTGTTGCAATCGTTGTGACACAATACGTAGGCGAACAATGGCAGAGTACAAAGGCAAAATGGAAACTAGTACAGCACCGCAGAAACCACGAAAGCCTTCAGGCATTTCATCACGTTAACTTCATACAAACAGTGGCCTGCCTCAGTACACTTCCGACAGAGGCCAGTGGCGGCGTCTTTGGAAATAAACAATAGAACTTGCTGTACCATAAGGGGCGCGGGAATTCTTTTTGAGAGCTCAGCCATTATCATCTCCTAAAGGGCTCTCATGCATGGAGTAAGCTACATAATTAATTAACTGATTAACACTCATAGTGAACCAAAAAAACCTTACGTTCTAGCAGAATTATTACTTACATCATAAACAAATCAATCCGCTTCGTGTAAACAAATATGATTCATTCAGAAAATATTTCTTTATCACGTAAAGACATTTTACTGCTATCATAAAACCACCTGACGATACCATAAATAAGAAGATTAAGTTAAATTAATAATTTATAGCTTTACGCGTACTTATATACAAGTTAGGGCCGCGCCATAGCTGAAGCGGTTAGTCGCTGGCTTTCCATCGCGGCGGCCCGGGTTCGATCCCGGGTCTGGTCAAGTGGGATTTGTGGTGGACAAAGTGGCGCTGGGGCATTTTTTCTCCGAGTACTTCTTTTTCCCCTGCCAATCTTCATTCCACCAACTGCTCCACAATCACCCTCACCTATCATCTGGGGCTGGTACAATAGGGCAGAAGTGGCCGCAGTATAAGGGACTTAGTCCCACCCCACTAGCAATAAAAAAAATGCAACTTGCGTTGTTATGTGTTAAATATTTTACAAAACACACACATTATATATAAATACCTAATGGATCACTTACCTTGGCTGTGATGTAGAAAAGGTTATTGAGGACCATTTCAGTGGCTTCTGCAGATCCCCAGCCCTCCCTTCTACTACCAGGTCGACTTAACTCCGCTGCATAATACTGAAATACGAAAGAGAACACCGTTCAATTCTTTCTCTCCTCCTGCAACGCTAACTGTGGGCAATCATGCATGGGATTCATTCATATGTGGCACAAAGGCAAAGTTGCTCGTGAGCTTAATTAAGTAGTGTGCCCTGAAGACGTATAGAAGAGCTGAAGTACAGGTCCAAGAATTCTTAGCCGTCAGTACCAGTTGGAAGCGAGAAGTCGGATTCACTCTCTGGTCCTTTAATCGCTGGAGAAACGGTTACAAATATGATAGGAGGCTCAGTGGGTCACGAGACAGATCTGAACGCGGTGGAAAAAGGAAAATTCGTTGCCTCTGGAATGCAACTACGGTCGCCCAGGCAGCAGCCAGCCATTTTGTTGAGTGTTTTAACACTCTTTTATCATATTAGTCGACCGCCTCTGTGGTCTAGTGATCAAAGTTCCTGGTTACAGATCCATAGGTCCGGGTTCGATTCCTGGGGCTACCAGATTTTCTGAGATGTGTGGAACGGGGTCCACTCAGCCTTGTGAGGATAACTGAGGAGCTATTTCAAGGAAATAGCGGCTTCGGTCTAGAAAACCGAGATTAACGGCCGTGGGGATCCGTTGCGCTGAACACGCAACACCCTTTATCCGCTAAAGTTGGCACTAACTTTGTCGACAAGCGGCGGTCGCTCGGTCGGTATAGTTCGCTTGCGGACTACAGACCACGGAGTTCTGTCCCTATTTCCGTCCCCTCTCTCCGTCGCTGATCTTGCTAGCGGCAATGACCTGTTTCTGTATTGAAAATACAACCTAATGAATGAATGTATAAGGGGTGGGCCTTCTCGGCCCTTGCACCGCGACCTACAGCGATCTATTGTGCTTTAAAAAATATAACCTATGTCCACAGCCATTTCGTTGCTTGGCAACTGTTAAATGCATAAAAAGATCACTATGCGAAATCAGAGCAGTAAATAATGAAACATCAGTCAGCGGGAAAATAATCGTAATACTATAACAGACTATTTCCTTCTTCAGCATAGTTTAATTCAGGAAAATGAATCAGGTCGAACAGGTATTAATAATGTAATGCGCTAGAAATATACAGCGTCATCATCTTACAGTTTTCGGCAAACTGCTCAGCCGCTGAGCAGACAGAAGCACTCGACACTTTCCGTCTAATCGGGAAGCGCAGGTAAGCACTACTAGCGGAATTGACAAGTCTAACAGTAACGACACTTAGCCAGATTGCCGAAAATGCTGGAAATACTCTCCGTATTGCTGTCAGGAGAATGTTCAACCCTAAAAGCGACCTGAAAAAACTCTATCTTATGGGACGTAACGCCAGTTAAAAGGCAACCGACGTTTCAGAGGAACATACCACTTCAATCTGCTGGGTCAAAGAATAAACCAAGCAAGAAACAAGTTATGCTTGCTACCTGTTTCATGCTTTGTCTACTCTTCGACATGATGGAAACAGGTTCCTCCAAAACGCCGGTTCATTTTCAACGGAATATATGGTGTTATATCCAAGAAGACAGAACTCTTCACAACCACCACTGTGAGAATCACAAATCCTACTAACAGAGATTTCATCGTTGGTAGTGGAAAAAAACAAAAAGAAATAATTGGAAGGCGGAGCCCTTGCTGAAGAGAAGCGAAAAAAAAAATCCATGTTAGGGATATATATATATATTATTTATTATACTGCAATTGGGTTTTAGCCCGGTGGCAGTAGTACACAATAGGACACGACAAGTAACACACATTACACTAAGTGACAACAGGTTCAAACAAAACACAATACACAAAACACAACAATAAGGACATCCTACCACAATGAATACAAACCAAATACGATTAACAACTACAACAATTACAGAGAAATACAAACAACTGCAACAAATACAACAACAATTACAACAATTACAGAGAAATACAAACAACTGCAACAAATACAACAACAATTACAGAGAGAGAGAAGAAAAAAAAATACAACACCCAAAACACAAACAAAAGGAAACCAACAGTCATGGATGCGTAATGTCATTTACTTCACTTCACTTCACTTCACTTCACTTCACTTCACTGCAATTTTTTTTTCTTTTTAATTATTTCCACCCCAACTTCACTTCGCCTCATTTATCACTTTCCTAACCCTTTGCCTAAAATTGCTTGGTTTACAGGACAGAGTACCTAAGGCATCTGCAGGGAGTTGGTTCCAGAGCTGTATGGTCCTATTTACATAGGAGTATTTCCCGATATCTGTCCGTTGCTTTCTACTCCTAATTTTCTTGCCATGATCACCCCTGCTCAGATAGCATGGTGTTTCTAATCTGTCACCTATAGCCTATAGCCTGTAGCCTATACATATTCTCCTCGAAAATCACTCAACCCTTGCACAACAGACCGGAGTTTCAAACTTATAGTTTACTCTAATTCTGAAAACGAAATTCAACGGGTGAACGCAAACATTTTATACAGAGGTGCCGGAATGCGCGAGCAACAGAAAGTTCTGTTTGTAGTCTGTTAACACTTTGCGGACCGCAAACGCTTTTAAACGTGGCGGACCGGTGGCATGTTATTATGACTTTAGGACACGTTTTGCTGGAACACACTATACCTTGCTCTGGCGCCACGCAACTGCAATGAATACTGCGTAATAAATCTTCGGAATGTATGCTAGGTATTCAGTAACTTGACCTGGCTTGTTGTTTCCTTACTCCAAAAGAAAATAAACTTTGCCCCTTCCAGCTGTTTATGTACCAGGCAGAAATTAATAGAGGGGAATATGTTTCAAGGGCAAAAGCGGTTGAAGGCAAGCGATCTCTCTGGTTTGTTTATGGAGCTATCTGACGAGCCTTGTGGAGGAATAGTGATTAGTGGCTCACACAGTGGAAGTGACAGGGGTCAACAAAGAATTGTGGCCACAGATAATAAAAATGAAAGTTGCCTTGTGGCTTATAAATTGTGCCATTTTCAATTCATTTTTGGTTTACAAATATCTAAACCATGATTCTAAACTGAAATACAAAGCATTTCTGATGAATGTGGAAAAGGCTTGGGCTACAGACCAGATGGTGGCGGCAGAACCAGAGTCAGAGGCACCTTGCGACCTAGCCCATGAACTCCCACCCCACGCAGGCTTCATGTGGACACCCCCTGGGCGACTCTCGGTTGATATGCAGAAACCCTCGTGAAAATTGTGAAGAGTGAACATTCCAAGGGGAAGCATCCTTCTAGGCAATGTCCTGTTTGCGCAGTTCACAAAAAAAAAAAAGGACTATGACTGTCTACATTTGCAAGTGTGTAATGCCACTTCACAAAGGGGGATGTTTCCAGGAATATCACACTCTCAAGCACTTCTAGGAGCATTGGTAATTGTTCTCCAAAAATTATAGTTCATAAAATTAATTCGGAGATTTTATATTAATTTTTAAAGTGAACAGTGCACAAGTTAGGGTAGTACGTATAAAAATGCCGGTCCCCAGGGTGATTTAAATATTTAAATCGCCGGTCCGCAAAGTGTTAAGCCTGGGCCTGACCCTCTGGTAGGGTAGCCAGGCGCTACCGACTGAAAGGCTAAACGATATGCGGGCACTCTACCTACACGGCGGCCGCAGGAGAATCCTGTCACTCCCCAAAACATATTCGTACATGTTGAGGCTCCTATCATGAAAAAGAGGGTCGATTTTTGTCGAAAAGGCTTCATAAAAAGGGCTCATTAAATAATTCGTGTAATTTTTTCGAACCGATTTCACACATCATTTATTACATAATTTAGCAAAGTATGGAATTCGTATGATACTACGAAATATGGAAAAAATCTAGCAAACACTTAGGGGCTGACTTTTAAGCACCACCCAGGGAGCGACATTTAATTCAAATAACTATTTTATAATTGACCGCCTCTGTGGTCTAGTGGTCAGAGTTCCTGGCTACAGATCCAGAGGTCCCGGGTTAGATTCCCGGCGCTACCAGATTTTCTGAGAAGTAGTGGGTCTGGAACGGGGTCCACTCAGCCTCGTGAGGACAACTGAGGAGCTATTTCAAGGAAAAGGCGACTCCGGTATAGAAAAGCGAAATTTACGGCCGTGGGGATCCGTTGCGCTGAACACGCGTCACCTTCTATTCGCTGAAGTTGGCACTAACTTCGACAAGCGGCGGTCGCTCGGTCGGTATAGTTCGCTTGCGGACTACAGACCACATAGTTAAAAAAAGCTATTTTAGAATTTCATGGGTCCAATTCATGGAGTCTGTCACTGAAAGGCGGTCGCACACCAACTGCGTGAAGACAAGCATCAAGACATGAGACAAAAGACGCAGTCTTGCTTCATTTGTGATTCAGACTAGAGTCCGCACACCGAAGTAGCACATGTTTGCGTCTTATCAGATCTCCTCTAGTTGATGACATGACGTCAGCTCTTCACTCATGTCGATAATGTACACTGGAGCTGATCCTGAGTCTTGCTGCACGTGTCTGCAGAATGAAGCTGACGTCAGCATCATAACTCAGACCGGTGTGCGGCCGTTTTCATATTCTCATTCATTTCAATTGTGCTCCTTTCTTTGCATCATGTAGCAGATATCGTGTCTGGACTGTTACTTGTCTTGTTGCATTCCGGTGTGCGGCCTACCTAAGGCAGATATGTTCATTCATATAATGGACGAAGTGTGTGTACTCTAACGGGGCCCGCGGGTAATTACCTAAGATACATCGCAACCCCTCACGGCCTGAAGTATGCAGACCTGCGCTACAAGATCAGACTGTGCACTACATAGACTACATAAATCAGTCTCTAATCTAAGAATACTTAGCGGTTAAGAAACCTTAATCATACTTCAGACGTAAAAAGAAGGTAAGTTCTGCTTGGGATGTCCAGTTTTGGAAAAGTTATATTAATTCTGTTTCCTTACCTGCCTGCTAATGTTATTCTATACAAAAACAAAAAGTTCTGAGACCTAATCTCGTACTTTCCTTTGATATGACATCGACCACATAGAAAACGACGCGTATAACAATTATTATATTGTTGCATGTGTATTCGTTGACGCGATAACATTTTTACAGAGTCGTTGCCTGGCAACGATAATGGGATACACAAACAGGCACACAGACTGAGGGTAGGATTGATGAAGTTCACCGTTGAGATGGACTCAGACGGCATGAGAGACATACCAGGTTTCATGACGATTCTTTCAGGGATTCAAAAGGTGATATGGGGAGATTCAAAGACACACAGACAGCAAGGTGATCTTATAAGCCTGCTTATATATATTTTTTTTTTCAAATACTGTGGCAAATGTGCTCAAAGCAAGAACTATGAAGTCAGAGAAGCAGCCGTTGCTAACGACAGGCTCTGAAACAACATTCGCCGCGAAAGACAATGGAACTATGTCCGTTGCTAGGCAGCAGATGTTTAATAAGCAAGAACAGACGACTGCTGCTACGGAACGGCTAGGTAAACACGTTCCAGCGGCAACGGATACGGATGTAACAGGGCAACGGTGTTGTCTGCGCAGGCCGTGCCGAGGAGTTATAATGAAGACAACAGGGGCAACTAAGTCAGTTCTCTAGGGGATTCTGTGAAGAAATGAGGCAGTTGGAAGGAAGCCGCCGTTCAGAGAGGACTTGAGCCCGGAAGCAGAGGATTAGCCACTGTCAACGTCGTTACCAGGCAACTACTAGTGTAGAAATTGGGGGATTGAAAAGACTTAAGAATGATTTTATAAAGTGTGGAAATAGCGACAGTGTTACGGCCTGTAAGCGGTGAATAAATCCAATATCAAATCCAAAACTCCGTCTGTAGTCACTCCATACTGTGTGGTAATACGAAAATCGGGCTAAAAAGAAACACGCCTGAAGTCCACGGAAAAGACAACACAGAAACTATACAGCCGACAGAAGTTGCGCTGCACATTGAAGGTCTGAAATTTCAACATCAACTTACTTTCCCTAACCTCTGCCACCACCAGGTAGCGGTCAGTATCACAATCTGCTGCCCTGAGTGATCGGACAGCAAGTATACTCGAGTGCCATCTCCTATCTATCAAAATGTGGTATAGTTGATTGTGTATCTTCCCATCAGGAGATGTCCAAGTAAATTTATGATGTTACGATGTCGGAACATTGTACTTTAGACAGTAAGATTTTTTGATGTGGCAAAGTTTACTACTCTATCTCCATTATCATTACTAATTTCATGCAAACTCTCATTCCCAAATCGTTGGTTTGAAAATGTCTTCCCTCCCTACTTTGGCATTGAAATCTCCTAACAAAATTTTCATATGGTACTTCGGGAATTTATCAAATACATGATCTAGTTCTTCATAGAATCTGTCCTTTATGTCATCAATTTTATCTTCTGTTGGGGCGTGGATATTCATAACAATGATATCACACCAGCGACCTTTTAGTATTATATATTATATCCTATCACTAACGAACTCTACCCTCTTAACTGCTGATATGATTCTCTTATGTACGAAAAACCCTGTCATGATTTTCATTCCCCTTTCCATAGAAAAATGTATAGTCTCCTGCTGGTGCGATGCCACCTCCTTCCCATCTTGTACTTCCCTTCCTGTACTCCTGCTAAATCTGACTTATATTTTGAGATTTCTTCTGCCACTGCCTTGAGCGAACCTGCCCTATGCAACAAAAATAAGGCTCACTCACCTGGAAATAAGACAATGGATTCGCAGGTGGAACGTTCGGGTCCACAAGTTCCATGTTGTGTAGCCAAGGCAACAAGTACTGTAGCAGGAGCTGTCGTACTTCCGGGCGCGCCGTTTGAAAGCGGTGCGTGATTTCTGCAAAGCGACAGAAACATGGACACTATGATGAGACGCAGCGTGCAACATTGCAGCTAAAATTAAACAGAAGCGAATTTATCTTCTTATTCATTAGCAAACACATTACAAAAATTGAGATCACATGAAAGCTCCTGTGACTAATCCCAAAATAATATAATAATAATGAACAAATAGCCTGAACATGGGAGCAGGATAAACTCTCGAAATGCCGCACGTATCAAACATACCTCACGCAATGAATAACGGCGAACACAATATTCGTATAACAAATCAAATATTTTCACAAACCAAGACCATATTAGTTTCATTTTCAAATACATACATTATATACTGTACATAATGGAATACTTGGTACAGAAATTGCACATAAGTCAACTAATTTGACTACGGACAATGTGGTGTAATAATAATAATAATAATAATAATAATAACTAAACTAAACTCCGTGGCTTGAGTCCGCAAGCGAACTATACCGACCAAGCGACGGCCTCTTGGTCTCGTGGTCAGAGTTCCTGGCTACAGATGCAAAGGTCCGGGTTCGATTCCCGGCGCTACCAGATTTTCTGAGAAGTAGTGTGTCTGGAACGGGGTCCACTCAGCCCGGTGAGGATAACTGAAGAGCTATTTCAAGGAAATAGCGTCTCCGGTCTATAAAACCGAAATTAGCGGGCGTGGGGATTCGTTGCGCTGACCACGCGATACCCTCTGTCCGCTAAAGTTGGCACTAACTTCAACGACAAGCGGCAGTCGCTCGGTAGGTATAGTTCGCTTGCGGACTACAGGCCACGGTGTTTCTTTGAGACGATTTTCAAAATGGGCAGATGTCCACGACCTCCACATAATGAATTATTTATTCTATGCACTTCATCCAGAATATTTTCTACCATTTTATACGAAAATTAATAGCTCAAAATAAAATCGATCTCTCAGCCCTTTGAGAGCTTTTCGGCCTTTATTACGCTTTTTGAAAAAAAAAACACCTGGAATCCGGAGAACACAGTTCAGAACCTAGACATTTCAATTCTTAAGCGTACCTACACAACACCCAATACACAGAACATTCGGGTTTCTCGAAGTTCAGTGACTACGTGCGTCATTGCACGACAATACTAGTAGGGTTGTTCATTGGAATTCCAACTGGTGCATGAATTTTCCTATTATTACCCGTGAGTCAGCCATATACAACTACGAAATGGGGTTCACAACAGAACAAAAGGAGACCGAAATACACAGAGACGAGGCAAGGGAGTCAACAAAGAGGTTTCAAGGATATAATATTTCTTTTGGAAATGAATGAGGAAAGAAGGAAATGGTAAGGAAAATGGAAATAAATCCACGCACAAATACAATTCTCCCCCAGATGTAACCAAAGCAATGACTAATTCCTCGAAGTTGTCCGTCCTGAGAAGCTGATAACGGCTTACGTAACGAAGAAATTAACCGATTCTTACGGAAATCAAAGAGTCATTTCCATTTTCACAAGAATTTGGAACTGAGCATTATCTTCAAGTTATACAAAGCACGGTTTGCACGGCCTGTTCTTTATCTCATACGAATCCTTAATACTGAACATCCTGTAAAGATACATTCGTGCCGGTAAGAATTTATTATATATCCAGGCTATACATGGAATATACTAATCGTGGTATAAATGAATTATGATTTAACTAAATGAAAATAGCTTTACATTTATATTTCGTATCAAATAACAAATTCATATTTAAACTTCAGGGGTGATACAGTTCACGGAACCGTTAAGATTTCCAAACACTTTGAAGAACGTAAATTTCTCCCATTTACCCCAAAGCTCCAGGGATATAACGCTTATAATTTACGAACTGAACATTGCTGGGCTTTGCACCTCATAAGGCAGTACATTTTTTTTTCCTTGGCACTACAGCCCCAGTGGGCCTAGGCCTACCTCCATGAACTCCGTTCACTTCGGTTTTTCTACATCTTACACATTCGGTAGGACTCCTTGGGCGAGTGATCAGCTCGTCGCAAGACCTCTACCTGTAGACAAACACAGAAAAACGCAGACAAACATCCATGCCCTGAATGGGATTCGAACCCACGGTCCCGGTTTCCAAGCGAGCGAAGATAGTGCATGCCTTAGACCGCTCGGCTACCGTGACCGGCTTTAAGGCAGTGCATACTCATATATAACTGTTTAAATAAGGAGTTATTTTATAAGACTAACATAAAAATGACTACATTTTTGTTAATAATCGAAAAGTCTCATACTGATGTGTGATAATAGTGCTAAAATTAAACTATGGGATTCAAAGTGATGCAAATATTCTGGAATCACATATAATTATTTACTATATACAGTATATATTCGTATATCTTGCTCTAGAAGGATATACTTTTTAGCTGACTCTATCGCATCTTATATACAAACATCCTTCATTCTAGCAAGTGCAACCTATGTATTTGCAAACACAACTGACACATGATGTAAGATTTGAGGCTTTCACGGCGGTGACTATGAAGAAAGCAGTCTTCTGGGATTTGGCACCGTGTATATGTGGTGTATATGTGGTCTGCTTTACCGTTTCTCACGGTGTTGTCGCTTGCAGATTTCTTATACTTTTTCTTCTACCCTGAAGATGGGGGCGATACGTTCCTCCGAAACGTCGGTTAACACCACATATACACGGTGCCAAATCCCAGAAGACTGCTTTCTTCATTGACACATGAGTAGTCCACGTTCCGAGCCGCGTATGGGTCTCACGAGTTCTGTATCAGACACAGAATTTATAAAAATAAACCGAGATCTTATAAAACATATGTCACTACGTCAGAGTTGCAAGTGCTATAAGATATTTTTTTCCGGTCAAGGTAGACGACCGGTCTAAGGTATGTACCGTCGTGGTCGCTCGCTCGGAAACCGGGATCGTGGGTTCGAATCTCACAAAAATCATGGATATTTAGTATGTGTATGTGATTGATCTGTTGTCCTGTGTTTAGGTAGAGACCTTGCGACGAACTCATCAATCGTCCAAGAGTCCTATTTGTAAAATGATCAAGGAACTCAAAATCAGAAGCCAGAGCCTAAGGGCGCTGTAGAGCCAGCGAAAAAAACTCGTTTTAGCCGGTGAAAGCAATCAGAGCTCGTTTCTGGTTTCAAAGACAGTAGATATATCTGTGTGCACGTGGAATTCATTGGTGCGTTTCGTTCGAAGATGGGACGATTTCACTGTTCGGGCAAGGATATTTCTTTCCTTTGTATGTGGCTCTACAGCCCTTTGGACCTTGGCCGCTTTTTCAGTTTCTTAATCTATACACAGTCGGTAGCACTCTTCGGACGGGGGATCAGCCCGTCGCAAGGCCTTTACCTACACACAGAATAACCGCACACAGACATCCATGCCTCGAGTGGGATTTCAACCCACGATCCCACTGTTCGAGCGGGCGAAGACAGTTCACGCCTTAAGGCGCATCCACATTACTCGTGCTCGTGCTCGTCGGGAGACTCATCTGGCTTTTACTTGTGCTCGTAAATCTTCGTCCACACTACTTCAGTTGCTCGCCAGGCTTCGGTGCGTGAGGATCCGTATATTTACTCGTAGTGTGTATAGGCTGTAGTCTTATTTTAATTTATTGGCTATAGTTTTTAAATTAAAATTTTTAAATTTCCTTGTCTCGTCACTTGTCATATCGTCCACATTACTCGCGAGCATAGCGAGTCACACGAGCACGAGCACAAGTAATGTGAACGCGCCTTTAGACCGCGCGGCCACTGCGACCGGCCTCGCAATGACATAACAGTTAATTATCAAAGGCCGATCACAGTGGCCGTTCGGTCTAAGGCAAGAAATGTCTTCGCCCGCTCGAACACTGGGATCGTGGGATCGAATCCCAATAAGTCGTGGATGTCTGTTTATTCGTGATTGTGTTAGGTAGTGGCTTGCGATGGGCTGATCCTCGTCCAAGGAGTCGTACCGACTGTGTAGAAGGAAGGAAGGAATTATTATAAGCTTCCAAACTGCCGCTTTAAAACTGTAGGGATCACAGTAAGTGTGATATGTCGTAGTAGCATCGGTGCATTAAAACAACAGAGAAACTGGGAGCGATAACAGCAGTGGGAGTTAAGTGTGCTTATGACAAACGTGGGGAAACTATTGATAAAAGGGTTTAAGATTATAGGCTACATGTGTACGGCCTGTTATTGTCCTGTAGATGTCAAATGGAAGCTAGAATTACACTACATGATCCCAGAATCAGCATATGAAGATTATTTCTACAGAATTTAACACAGTCACACGATAAAACAGCTTTACAACTGGGGCTGGAAATATTCATCGACAAGCTACGGTAATGAACATTTTCAGAAACGATTCAATGGCGGAAAGTAAATTAGTGTTGCTCTGCCGAGCACTTAATTACACTACTAAATGTAGAATTACATAGCGTCGTAAGCAATATGACATAAAACTGCATAATGAGGAGTTTCATGACTTGTACGCTTCGCCAAGTATAATTAGAATGATCAAGTCAAGGAGGATCAGATTGGCAGGGCATGCAGCATGCATGGAGTTGAAGTGGAATATATCTAGGATTTTTGTGGGAAAGCCAGAAGGAAAGAGACCACTAGGAACAGCAAGACGTAGGTCGTAGGATAATATTAACTTATAGAGATTGGATTGATCTTGCTAAGGACAGAGAACAGTGAAGGATTCTGGAGAAGACGAAAATGAACCTTCGGATTCCATAAAATATTGGAAACTTCGTGAGAGGATGCGCATGTGGCAGCTTCTCAAGAAGGGCTCAGCTCCATGGAGTCAGGTTAGCTAGATGGGTGACTAAAATGGCGCAAGCATTTTCACGCTGTTATTAGCCTGACATATTATTTTTTATTGCTAGTGGGGTGGGACTAAGTCCCTTGTACTGCGGCCACTTCTGGCCTATTGTACCAGCCACAGATGATAGGTGAGGGTGATTGTGGAGCAATTGGTGGAATGAAGATTGGCAGGGGAAACCGAAGTACTCGGAGAAAACCTTCCCCAGCGCCACTTTGTCCACCACAAATCCCACCTGACCAGACCCGGGATCGAACCTAGGCCGCCGCGGTGGGAAGCCAGCGACTAACCGCTTGAGCTATGGCGCGACCCTTAGCCTGACATAAGCATGTGAAGTCAGGGGAAAACCAGGATCACTAAGACAGTGGATATCCCTCCAAGACTCGACCTGAGCACGCCCTTACTTCCAAGTAAAGCTTGTTTCAGGTTCAGTCAACTTGACCGATAAACGCACAACATGGCCTAGGGATATGCTGGGCTGCTTTCTGAAGAGATACATTGTCTTACATTTTACACAAATACGATCTTATACATAAAATTCAAACAGTTCTAACCTTGTGGTACATAACGCCGTGTAGCCCGTTGTAAGTCAACTGATGTCTCGGAGGAACATGTCACCTACATCTTCAGGGCTAAAGAATAAGTCAAGCAACAATTCTACTTGTAAGATTTTCACGGCGGTGACTATGAAGAATGCCGTCTTCTGGGTTGTGACGCCGTATAGATATTGTGTTAACCGAAGTTTCGGAGGAAATTATCGCATCCATCTTCAGAGTATAAGAAATCCGCGAGCGAGGAACCAGCATTTTAACGTCGGTTAACACAATATCTACACGACGCCACACCCCAGAAGACGGCATTCTTCAAGAATACTGCCTGCTACCTTCCGCGTACTGGCTTCTTGTCTGGCTTAATCTTCAACCTGTGGAAGCGACCTACGTCCACAGCTGTTCCGTTCCTTGGGAACTGATTATTATATCAAGCGATTAGCACACTCTTCCACGGCGGTAAATAACAGAATGTCTATCAAGACAAGTTTCCCATAATAATGTAGCATGTAGAGAACCACTGCTAGGTAACGACAGCGAAACAAACCGAAACAAAGCCCGTTGCTAGGCAGCAGATTCTTAACAAGCTTGTACATCTCGGTCCGTGCCGAGATGTACAAGCGTGGCAAGTGCCCCCACTTGCAGTGGGGGTTAGTGCAGTTAGTCTGTGAAGAGAAGACTAGGAGGGTGGTGTGAGATGGTCCCTGGGAGTTAGTCAGTTGAAGCAATGAGTCAGTTGTGGGATATTCGCCAGACAGCAAGGGCGTGAGCAGGGAACATGAAGAACCTCCATCGGTAGGACCCGTTACCAGGCAACGACTAGTGGAGACTGTAAGATACTGAGAACACTAGTGTGTGTGTGTGTGTGTGTGTGTGTGTAACAGTGAATTGTAAAATGTAGTTACGTGTTGTGTGTATAAGTCGTCAATAAATCCAGTCACCAATCCAAACCCTGCGTCTAGTCACTAACACTTGACAATAATAAAAAATTACGTTACTTTAACAGAGTTTACTTTAAGAAAGCACAGGAATGGGCATTTACGCTCGTCTTATTCGAGTTCCTGAAAATTCTCTATCGGTGCTAATTTCATTCACTGCAAATAATTTCATTGTGTCCTAGCACTAAGGGAGCCGGGATAGCGTAGTCGGTATAGCTACTGGCTATGGGCTGGATGTCCGAGGGGTCGGAGTTTGAATCCTGGTAGAGTCAAGAATTTTTAATCCTCCAATTGTCCAGACCGGCTCTGGAGTCCACCAAACCTCATATACAATGGGTACAGGGGGCTCTTTCTCGGGGTTAAAGCGGCCGGGACATGAACCTGACCACTCACCTGCAACTAGTGCCGAGGTTAAGAAAATGTGGATCTATACATTCACTCCCCCATTACGTCTTCATGGGGTGGTGCTTGATTAGTTAAGCACAGGGACAACTTTACCTTGCCTACCACTACGAAATAAACAGCTGTGAGTAGTGAACTCACCAGAAAACATTGGCATCGTTAATTCCGGATGCAGCTGAGCTAACTGTCGAGATAAGTACATCTGAGATCGACAGTACGTCGTGGACAATAGAAGATCAAGTGTTCCTCTGCCCTTGTCACCACCTGAAACAATGAATGAAAACATATGAAGCTTTAAGTATGTAAGCCTAAATAATAATTCGGTGTAAAATTAAGGTGGACATTAAATGTGGAGAAGCAGACATGACTACAACGGCCGGTACACAGCAAATGCAACATTCGTATAATGTACACACATAGCTAAGCATAGCCAGTTCATACGGACTTCAAGTGAACCAAACTGATTACTCTAACACACAAAAGGGAAAGATGAACCAATCAGGTTGGGGCGGATACGGAAGTATACCGTTGGCACTAACCCTAAGGGCTACAAATCTCAAATGGATTAACGCTGTAATCCATAAGAGCCGCTTGAGAAGGGGTGGAGGTGGGGGTTGATGAAAGGGACGACAAAACCGAATATTCTACTTTATATATGAAAGAAGTAAAAAAAAAAAAAACAGTGAAAGACCGTCTATTTAGTGATACTGGGGAACTTCAATTACAGCAATCTCTCGCTAACCGCGGCTTTGACAAAGCGGCATCCGGTTTTTCGAATCTGTGTACACACTTCCGAACCAAGAGATGCGTGCGTATGTGCTGCGGCAGCAAAGCTGTAATTGCATTTGAAAACTTCCCGATTCCCACGGCAGTGCATATTTTTGCTAGCGTTTCTCACATCGTACTTTTTACATCTAATGTTTTTACCTAAGTGAGCCGGGATAGAGAAGTCGGTATAGCGACTGGCTACGGGCTGGACGTGAGGAGCCGGGATAGAGAAGTCAGTATAGCGACTGGCTACGGGCTGGACGTGAGGAGCCGGGATAAGAGAAGTCAGTATAGCGACTGGCTACGGGCTGGACGTGAGGAGCCGGGATAGAGAAGTCAGTATAGCGACTGGCTACGGGCTGGACGTGAGGAGCCGGGATAAGAGAAGTCAGTATAGCGACTGGCTACGGGCTGGACGTGAGGAGCCGGGATAGAGAAGTCAGTATAGCGACTGGCTACGGGCTGGACGTGAGGAGCCGGGATAAGAGAAGTCAGTATAGCGACTGGCTACGGGCTGGACGTGAGGAGCCGGGATAGAGAAGTCAGTATAGCGACTGGCTACGGGCTGGACGTGAGGAGCCGGGATAAGAGAAGTCAGTATAGCGACTGGCTACGGGCTGGACGTGAGGAGCCGGGATAGAGAAGTCAGTATAGCGACTGGCTACGGGCTGGACGTGAGGAGCCGGGATAAGAGAAGTCAGTATAGCGACTGGCTACGGGCTGGACGTGAGGAGCCGGGATAGAGAAGTCAGTATAGCGACTGGCTACGGGCTGGACGTGAGGAGCCGGGATAAGAGAAGTCAGTATAGCGACTGGCTACGGGCTGGACGTGAGGAGCCGGGATAGAGAAGTCAGTATAGCGACTGGCTACGGGCTGGACGTGAGGAGCCGGGATAAGAGAAGTCAGTATAGCGACTGGCTACGGGCTGGACGTGAGGAGCCGGGATAGAGAAGTCAGTATAGCGACTGGCTACGGGCTGGACGTGAGGAGCCGGGATAAGAGAAGTCAGTATAGCGACTGGCTACGGGCTGGACGTGAGGAGCCGGGATAGAGAAGTCAGTATAGCGACTGGCTACGGGCTGGACGTGAGGAGCCGGGATAAGAGAAGTCAGTATAGCGACTGGCTACGGGCTGGACGTGAGGAGCCGGGATAGAGAAGTCAGTATAGCGACTGGCTACGGGCTGGACGTGAGGAGCCGGGATAAGAGAAGTCAGTATAGCGACTGGCTACGGGCTGGACGGCCGTGGGGTCAGAGTTCGAGTTCCGGTGGGGTCAGAGTTCGAGTTCCGGTTGGGTCAAGAATTTTCTCCAGACCGGCTCTAGGGCCTACCCAGCCTCCTATCCAATGGGTACTGGGGGCTCTTTCCCCAGGAGTAAAGCGGCCGGGGGGTGAAGCTGACCACTCACCTGCAGTAGAGTTGGCGACAGGTTCTTATATCCTGAGAGGAAATATGAACAAATTTCATACACATTATCGAGTTATTGGCATTATCATTTAGCCCTAATACAGCATGTTTCTATATATTTCATTAATAAGGCACTTTAAATTCGAGGGATATTTGTTATAATTCACTTCTTAATCGTTTATCTCCCTATCTCATACTTATTTATAAAAAAAAACTCCGTGGCCTGTATTCCGCAAGCGAACTATACCGACCGAGCGACCGCCGCTTGTCCGCGAAGTTAGTGTCAACTTTAGCGGATAGAGGGTGTCTTGTGGTCACCGCAACGGATCCTCACGCCCGTTTATCTCGGTTTTCTAGACCGGACCTACTTACTTATCTAAAGACTAAAATACACAAAACTCTGACTGAGAACGTCTAAGAACGAAGTGTTTAGTACAATATTTCGATACAAAGGAGGAACTACCAGCAGAACGCAGAAAATTACGTAGCTTGTAATCTTCACCAAATATTACTACGACGATAAAACCAAGGAGAAGAATGAGTGGAGTGGACACGTAGAAACCTCAGAGGAGGTGAGAAATTTAGATAAATTTAAAATGGAAAACCTGAAACGACTAGACCATTTGAGAGACCGAGGCATAAAGAGAAGGCTAACATTGTCATGTAGTATGTGTAATTATAACCGGAGTTTGGATTGGTGAATAGATTTATTGACCACTTACAGGTCTTAACTACAAATAACTATAACACTATTTCAATACTTTACAGTTCACTACAGTGTTCTCAGTCTGTTACCACACGTTTCTTGGTAACGGCTCCAACAATGGTTATTCTTCCGCCTCTGGCTCAAATTATCTCTTAACAGACTCCCGTACGGAACTGACTTGGTGTAACTTTGTCCCTTGTTTTTAACATCTCGGCACGGACCACAAAGAAACCACAGCCCTTATATTTTTGTGTTCGTGTCCGTTGCTGCGGGAAAGTGTTTACCGAGCTGTTGCCTGAAACGGCCCTGGTATATCCGCTCATCTCGAGGTCGTTACGCAACAACGGTTCTACACGCTAAAGAATTACATTTAAGGAAAGATGGTGTGAGAGTACGGAATGAATTCGTCATTGGCGGACTCTTGAGAACACATAATGGATGTCTAGATCTCATAAGAAACAGGAATTATCTTCACCATTTAACAGCCTCTGAAGAGGGGATCTACCCCTCAATCCCATTCCGTTGTAACTCAATTTGAATATTCATGACGAAGTTCTTGTTGGAATGGAATTCTACTATGTGTACAGGAACTCTCCGTGGTAATGGCATGACACGGAGAGAAGAACTCTTAACCAGCGGCGTGCCGTGCATGGAAGCAAGGGAAGCATTGCTTCCGTAGTTAATAAACGAAAATAAAAGAAGTCACGTATATATAATTCAATTTGAATAATAAGGATTTGGATATTGTCATTTAGCGCGTGTTCCTGCTCAAGGCCATATGCCTCCTCCTCCCTTTCCCTGCTTGGTGGGACGGACCAAGTTTCCTTCGTTAATATCCGTAAGAATTCGTCTCACACGAAGTGGGCAGGGAAGCAACTTTCGGTTTGCTGGCTAATGCCTGTGATATGGAAGCGAATGTGTGTGTTCTTTCGATGGTTATATGAAAATTAACTGTTTATGCGTGATTTCAGTCTTGTTGGGTGTTATAGGTAGCATTAAGTTTCATTAAAATATTGTAAGCGCATATTTATATGGCGTAAGATTGTATTTGTGATCGTACTTTGACGCATCAGAAAGAAGCTATCCGCGTTTAAGGAAAGAAAGTCTGATACTGCGGTAAGATGGGCAGGGACGCGAATAGACTACACGCACAGGCCACAGCTAAAATGAATGTTGGCAGACAACGCGACTGCGACTGTGCAATCGAAAGCCCTTTAAAACGGGAGTTTAATAACGAGGACTTTTCTGAAAAGAAAATAATTATAGAAAGAGGACAACCGACATGAGAGTTGCTAGAACTTAAAGCACAAACCAAATTATGTGTGAGGAAATTTAATTTGGGACAATATTCTAAAACAGAGCCGATCACGGTAGCCAAGCGGTCTACGACATGCACTGTCTTCGCTCGCTTGGAAACCGGGATCGTGGGTTCGAATCCCACTCGGGGCATGGATGTTTAGTTTGTGTGTGTACGTTTTTCTGTGTTTATGTACAGGTAGAGGCCTTGCGACGAGCTGATCACCCGCCCAAGGAGTCCTACCGAACGTGTAAGATCTAGAAAAACCGAAGTGAACGGAGACGTTCATGAAGGTAGGCCTAGGCTCACTGGGGCTGTAGTGCCAAGGGGAAAAAAAATCTAAAACAGAATGGCTATCCGGTTGCCGTAATATAGGAAAATTGTTTTGTTGGCCATGCCTATTGTTTCTCAATGAAAAAATGTATGGAACAAGACTGGGTTTCGTGACATCAACAACCTTCATAAAGCATTGAAACGACATGAGAACTCTCAGACTCACATTATTTCAACAATGCAACGTGTTATGTTCGGGAACTCTCGAATTGACTGTCAACTTGACAATCAGAAGCGCCTGACGATACTACATAGAGAAATAATAAAACGCTTGATTGATATCATCTGGCAACTCTGGCTTCCGGGGTCATGACGAAGGCGTGGATTCTATCGACGGAGGTAATTATGTGGAAGTAGTTCACTTGTTGAGGAAATATGATCATAAACTCAATGTTCACCTTGAGAACAGTACAGTATTTACAGGTTTATCGAACAGAATACAAAACGACCTTACTGACTAAATAAGTGACGTAACTTTTGGTGAGTTGATTGGTATCAGTTCGTACCGCCGCTTCCCTTACCAAAAATCGTACCGCACGCCACTGCTCTTAACCCTGATGGAGATAGTTACTAATTCCACGAAAGATAATCCTCTTCAGAAAGCGAACAGTTGCTCATCTCACAAAAAGAATTCGATTGCTATAGAAGCCGCAGGGTCATTAACGTGGTTAGAAAAGTCCACAATATCAATAATTCAATAAATATCACATAATACATGCCTATAAGTGGCTCGCTCATAACATTTTGTGGCG